AGTATGACCAAATGAATAAATCTTCGATATTAAGTACTTTTGTCCAGCTTTTTTACCTCGTATTACATGCCAAATGATCCCAAAACTTGCTTTTGATACCTCCAGTGGGTTCCTTGTGAAATTTCAGTCAAGATAGGCTTTTGAATCACTCCATTTGATCTTATAATGAAGGAGATAGGTTGGTTTCAGTATTTAGAAATAGTACAAATTTTTAAATACGAAGTCTGTGGCAATTTCGTAATTAATCTAAAAATCTGGCAACCCAATTCTTAGTAAAATGACCATACAATCCTCATACGATATTCAAATTCAGTGATTTTTTTTATACGGATCCGTAATTATGATACAGATCTAATGCTTCAACCAAAATAGAAATCGGAGCTCACTTATTTAATGTAGTATCATTTATGCTTGAAGAAATGACATCAAAACATAAGAAAAACGAGCGCAACACAATCTATGTCCATCCAAAACTCACACGAGCGCCTCGGGACCCTATACGAACATACAAACAAGTCTCGTAACATAACACAGACTTACTCGAGGCCTCAAATCATGCATAACAACATCGAAACGATGAAACACACCTCAAATCAAACTTTATGAACTTTCGACTTCCAAAAACTTGCGCAGAAACATATCAAATCAACTCAAAATGAACTCAAATTTTTCACACAATCCCTAATACATCATACGGAGCTACTCGTGCCCCCAAACCACCAAGCAAAGTGAAAATGCTCAAAATGATCGTTCGGGTCATTACAGGGCTTGTGCAAAATATTGCGAAGGGGATAAGTGGTTACAACACAAATTGGGTGACATTGAAAATACAGTTTTAATTTCCTAGAGGTACCTATTAGAGAAAGCACTAATTTTAATTGTGGGTACCGGGTTTCTGATTCACCTAAAGTTTGGCTAACGTAGTAAACAGGAAATTACGTACCTTGCTCTTCTCGAACTAGGACACTACTTACCGCGAACTCCAAGACTGCCAAATATAAGTAATGTTGCTCGTCCGCTTTCGAAGTATAAAGCAATGGTGGGTTCGAAAGATACCGCTTTAATTCTTCCAATGCATGTTGGCACTCTAGGGTCCAAATGAAATGCTTTTCTTTTTGAGCAGTGATAAGAACCTATGACTTCGATCCGAAGACCTCGAGATGAATCGGCCTAAAGCGGTTATCTGTCCTGTTAACCTTTGTACGGACTTAACACTGTCTATGACTGTGATGTCTTCAGTTGCCTTGATTTTATCGGGGTTGATCTCGATTCCCCTATTTGACACCATAAAGCCGAGGAACTTCCCTGAACCGACCCCGAATGCATATTTCTCGGGGTTGAGCTTCATGTTGTATTTTCTCAATATGTCGAAGGTTTCCTGCAAATGTGTCAAATAGTCCTCTGTATGCAGGGACTTAACTAGAATGTCATCAATATAAACCTCCATTGATTTGCCTGTTTGTTCTTCGAACATTCAGTTTACTAGGCATTGATAAGTACCACCGGCATTTTTTATCCCAAACGGCACTACATTATAGCAATAAGTATTGTACTTAGTGATAAACAAAGTCTTTTCTTGATCCTCCGGGTTCATTTGTATTTGGTTGTACCCGAACTAGGCATCGAGAAAACTGAGTATCTCGTGGCCGACTGTGGCATCGATCATGCGATTGATATTCAGCAGAGGAAAAGAGTCCTTAGGGCACACTTTGTTCAAGTCTTTGTAGTCTACGCACATTTTAAGTTTATTCCCCTTCTTGGGGACTACAACTACATTTGCTAACCATTCGGGATATTTTACTTTCCGGATGGATCCTATTTTGAGAAGTTTGGTTACCTCGTACTTGATGAATGCATGCTTTACCTCGGACTGTGGCCTTCTCTTTTGCTTTACCAGTCTGAACTTTGAGTCCAAACTCAATCGATGAGTGGATATCTCCGGTGGGATCCCTGTCATGTCAAGGTGGGACCAAGCAAAACAATCCATATTTTTAATAAGGAATTCAATGAGTTTTTCCTTGATCTCGGGAGTTAACCCCGTGCCCAGGTATACTTTCTGATCGGGCAGATGCTCGATTTGTATGACGTGCTCTAGCTCTTCGACCCTTAAATTTTTGGCATCGAAATCATCGAGGATTACGAAGGTTCGAGGTATCATACACTCTTCATCCTCGATAATTTCCTGCTGTTCCGATCTAGTCGAGGTTGACGACTGTGGTTGCTATTTGACTTCCTACTTTTCCTTTGATTCTGGTCCCTTTGTTGATGTTAGTGCCGATACTGCTATTACTTCGTCAATTGCAAACATCTCTTTGGCTGCTAGTTGTTCGCCGTACACCGTTTTGACTCCTTCCGGTGATGGAAATTTCAAGACTTGATGAAGTGTCGAAGGTACTGCCTTCATATTATGGATCCAAGGTCTTCCGAGCAGCGCATTGTACCTCATATCACCTTCGATCACGTGGAACTTCGTTTCCTGGATAGTTCCGGTCATGTTTACTGGCAACATGATTTCCCATTTGGTGGTTTCACTCCCCATGTTGAAACCATTGTGCACTCGAGCTGCAGGCATGATTTAATCTCGAAGGCCAAGCTGCTCTATGACCCTCGATCGAATAATATTTGCCGAGATACCTGGATCAACCTACACATGTTTAACTTGAGTTTTATTCATAAGGATAGATATTATTAGTGCGTCGTTGTGAGGCTGTTCGATCCCTTCTGCATCCTCATCGTTTAAAGATAAGATATTTTTTGGTAAGTAGTTCCGGGTACGCTTATCCCTTGTGATTGTAACTTTAGTGCATTTAAATGTCGAACCCAAAAGGAATATCGACCCCACCAACGGTCATATGAATCACGTGCTGCAGTTCCTCCTGTTTGTTTTTCCTGCTTGCATCCCTGTCTCTGAAGTGAATTTTTGCTCGTCACTCAAGAACTCTCGAAGATGACCATCGTTGAATAAACGAGCTACCTCCTCCTTTAATTGTCTACAGTCTTCGGTTCTGTGACCGTGGGTTCCATGGTACTTGCACATTAGATTTGGATTTCTTTAAGCTGGATCGATCTGCAGGGGTCTGGGCCACCTGGTATCCTTGATTCGTCCAATGGCCGACACAATACCTGAAGTATCGACGCTGAAGTTGTATTCTGATAACCGTGGTGTTTCCTTAGGCTCGACATGTTTATCGATGCCACTATTACTCATGAGCCCTCAAGAATTTTGACCGCGATCATTCCTTCGATCATTTCGAACAGGATTACGTCCCGTCTTGTTATTTCTACGATCTGCTCTATATGGTTGGTACTGATTTTTGCTCGATCGGGGTTCTCTGTCGATGCCTCTTTGAATCCTGCTTTTGGATATATTTGGGTAAACGAAACCAGACGGGGCTCCCAACTGACCATCCTCGACTCTGATCTTTGATTGGTATCAATTATGCACATCGGCCCAGTTCACCACTGGATATTCAATCAAATTCTGCTTTACTTGTCGTGACGCTATCGAACTTCGCTCGTTCAAACCCTGAGTAAAGGCTTGGACAACCCAATCATCGATAACACTACAAGAACCTACCTTATTGTGGCAACTATAATCGCTACAAAAGTTCCAAAAGTCGCCACAAAATACCTTTAGTGGCGACCATAAGGTTGCTGCAACTACAAGCGTAACTAAATGTCACTTGTGGCGACAATTGAGGTCGCCACAAAAAGATTACATATTGTCGCGACTATACCCGCCACTAAAAGCAAATAAATACGCCACAAAAGAGTCTGCCAGAAACAGATGTTACATAAGTCGCTACTGAAGAATAACCTTTAGTTGCGACTGTGGTTACCACTAAATCAGTATACCTTCTAGTGGCATCTTTAATCGCCACAATCCTGATGTATAGTGGCAGTGTTTGTAACAAGGTTCAGTCGCCACTGAAACTCCTTTTCCATTCAAATTATAATAGCCAAAAATTCTAATAGATTTCAAATGCGGCCTCACTTTCTAGAACTAATATACAAATATAATTCTATCAATTGCCTAAAACACCATAGCTGTAGGCATAAACACTAACAGCATCCCTCGCAACAAATACTGGCTTTTAGCTATTAAAAACCTCCAAATACTGGTTAACCATAGCTTCATAACCTGGGAGGATGTATTTCCTTTTGCAATATGGCACCTCTGGCTAAATAGAAACAATAACTGCTTTCATAATTCTTCAAACACCATAAACTATCACATGGTTAATACACTAGGCATTGAATTTAAGTTATTAACATCCAACTATAAAGGCACAACACACAAAACTCCGGTACACATCAAGTGGTACCCACCACCATCTCATAAGTACAAACTAAATATTGATGCCTCCATGGATAAACATAACACGGGAGGCATTGGGGTGTAATTAGAAACAGTGGTGGAGACTGAATTATAGGCTTCTTCAACAGGATCAAAGCCCATAACTCCACACATGCAGAATTGCAAGCACTCCAGGCAGATTTAAATTTGGCATATGAAAAACGACTAGCACCACTGGAGATTGACACTGATTCAACGGATATAATTAAACTGCTTCAACACAATATATCCCCCGCCTATACTAACACTATCTTAGAATGTAGGTACTTGTTGAAGAAACTGGGGAATCCAGTGATCCGGCATAGTTTCCGCGAAGGCAACAAGGTGGCACACTTGTTGTGTAAATGGGGTTCCAAGCATCACCTAAGCTCTACAACTACTATTTTGCACTCACCTCCGGACGCAGCAAAGAAGGCAATCCAAGATGACAAAAATGAAGTTTTAACTACTAGACTAGTATCAAGCTCTATATGTAATATATTAGCAGTACTTGGGAACCTTAGTATTATCCCTGCTATTACTAACAGCGATGTAATGCCCCCCTAACCTTTTATGAATGAATCTATCCCTATTTCCAAAAAAAAAAAAAAAAAAATTGCCTAAAACACCAAAAGCATCCACATTATTCAACAAACACCAAAAATATTTCTCAAGCTAAATATTATAAATACTTTCATTACTAAAAAGTTAATAAAAAACTATACTATACAATACTTCATTGTTCATATTGTCATTGTACTCATATAATAATGACTAGAAAATAAAACACCAAGCGCTTCAAACTCCTCCTTGGTCGATGCTATTTGTGATAGTTTGAGAGCCTTGTTCCTGTTATGAAGGGGAAAAACACATTATTACTTTGACAATTCTCATAATTTAATATTAGAAGGTGTCCGAGATAACATTGGAGTAAATGATTATGAAACACATTTAATAAGAATGTGATGGACATTATGACCAAGCAAAGTTTATGATAAAACATTTAACATCTCTATATAATATAGTCAATGAGCAGATCCACCCTAATCAAATTACTTAAAGAAGTAAAAAAAATATAGTATTCCTCGACAATAAGGTAATGATTTCTACAAGTTGTCCATATTCAGACATATTACTAGTGTAATTTGTAAGGTTTTATCACTTGTGTGTTGCATGCTATTTATAAGATTTTTCATAGCTTCAGCACATAAGTATTTTTCTAAACTTTCTCTTAGACAATGCGACACACTCTAAGATAATCAATTTCATAAAAGTAATGTTACCACACTCTCATTCAATGCTCAGGTACTCTTGCGTCAAGGTCGTTGTATAAAATATGTCATGAAGTAGCTATTTACAAAATAAATGCAGCAAGAAATAAAGTTTCAGATAGCTAGAGTTATTTTTTATTTTCTTGCACTCATAGCAGAAATAAACCATAAAGTTGCCTACACCCACTAGGCAAAAAGCTTAGATTCAAATGAACTATGTTACATGAACTATAACAATGATGTGTTACAGATATGCAATTCGATCAACTCCGAGAAAAAAGAAATAAACAACAATAATGCAATCCACACTTCCCTAACTGACTAAGCAAAGGGACAATTTGACCAACAAAGACTTTGATACAACAAAATTTAATAACAAGTTACAACACTTCCTAAAACTCGACTAAGCCAATCCACAAATCCTTCAAAATACTATGTGATCAATTGAAATCAATATTAAGGTGCAGCATAAACAAAGTATCAATCAATCATTCACCATAAAAAATGATAGATTAAAAATATTACAGTGGAAGGTGTTCAGCAAATGCCATCAAACTTATACGCCAAGATCTTACTCTTGATTTTTCAAGTTTACAATTGGATCATTAAAGAAGTATTACAATAATGTTCCTAGTTCTCATTATTTGTTAATAAAGAATGATGCAAATTGTATATTTTTTGTCGATAAGGATCTCAATGATTATCTATGCAACTCTGACTTCTAGGAGGAAGTTGAAACAAGGAACATATAAATTAACGAGAATTAACAGAAACTACAACTCGCAAATTTGTCCTCTACAGCAACTAAATCGCAAGCTGCCAACACCGCGATCCATCTGCCCTGAATGGGAAATACAAACTCGCAAATTTGTCCTTTACACAATGCTTATCTCGAATTACACCATTGACTTTAAAGTGGGAAATATGACTCTAGTTAGACTAAGAAACTTATTTTCAGCTTCAATTTTCTCGTAGAACCAGAACCTTAATCTGCAGCAAAGTGGTTTTATGAACCTTTCACGTGCAAAGCATAATTAAAGTAGAGCTCTTTTTTCGCATACAAGGTCTTGAAGTCCAACAAGCTCACTGGACTGCATAATAAATTTGTTTGGCAGTCTTTCATGGTTCTACGGCTTACTTCGACCATAAATGACTATAATGTAATAATATCCCGTTAATAGTTTCTACATACAAGGAAATTTTCTAGTTTTAAAAGATAAAACCAAGTGCTTTGTAATCAAATTTCACAATAACTACCAAACTCAAGTTAGCACAATTAGTTTGAGACAAAAGGAAGGACTACATATTATGATGTAGGGAATGGTAGGAACTAAAAAGAAGAGCAGAAAACTACAACACAAGAAAATAAATATCCCCAACAACTTACCAACTTTGGCTTGGATCTCACGGGGAGCAGCAACTTCATCTTCCATTTCCTTTAATCGTTTCTTCATCCCATCTAATTCCTGACAATTAATCAGATCCACTCATAATCAATAATAATCTTTGTGTATTCATATATAACATGAAATTTACTATCCTTGTTTTTGGCAAACGAAGATAGCAATTAATTTAATCCTCCAAACAGAATCAAACAAATCAATTAGGTGTCAACCCCAAACTACTTACGATTGGCTTTGCTGTATGAATCCTCCATATAATTCCACCAATTTTTGTCCGTATGATTCTACTAAGCTACTCCACCAAAAAGAGGACCTTGAACAGAACTCATGTCTTTCGCAACTTTGGCTTGCATCTTACGGAGAGCAGAAGATTCATATTCCATCTTCTTTAATCGTTTCTTCGTCTCATCCAATCCCTTACAAAATAAAAGGTTTTAAATCCATTGCTAATTAGGGCTTTTTCACAAGAAAAAAAAAAAGAGAGAAGAGAAGCGCTAATACTGATAGAGAGAAAGGGTAACTTAACGACGCCATCATCGAGGACACTATGTTCTATATCTCCTTCCATTTCAGCTTCCATTGGGGAAAACCTTCCATTGGCGATGGGGTTTCAAAGAAATTTCCCCCGACTGGGTTTCAGTTTTGGAGAAACGAAGCAGTTGTGATTTGAAGACGACGGGCTTCAATTTTAGAAAGACAAGGAGGATGTGGATTAGGATTTAGGGAGATGATAGGCTTCAGGGGAGATAAGGGTTTTGGGTTGTAGTGAACTGAGATTCTTTATTTACTCCTTTATTTTTTTATTTACTTTATTAAATTTTTATTTTTAAATGATGACACTAGCAGCGACTTAGTCGCTCAAAATTGGATTAGTGAAGATCAAATGGGTCGTCACTAAAGGTTTTTGGCCCAAATTTTTGATTTTCGCGGGAGTCGAAAATTTTCACCTAGAATGGCAGGTACTAGTAGCGACTCCTTAAAAGCCGCCGCTAATCATGGAACATTCTGTAGAGACTAGACTTGTCGCTACTAATACTGTAACTTTCAGCAGCAACTAGACTATTCGCCACTAAATCTTTACTTTTAGTCACGATTTTTATCGTCGCCACTAAAAGTTCATTTTCTTGTAGTGTAACCGGGGCAGGTCCATGCGCTCCATCTGTAATCGAGATACGAATTCCCTTAGCATTTCATTATCCTTTTGTCTCACTTTGAAAAGGTCTGGCTTCCTAGTCGCGACCTTTATTGCTCCGGTATGTGCCTTTACGAACGAATCGACAAGCATGGCGAAAGAATCGACGGAATTGGGCAGCAAATTGTGGTACCATATCATTGCCCCCATCGATAAAGTTTCTCCAAATTTTTTCAATAGAACAAATTCAATTTCATCTTCTTCTAAGTCATTTCCTTTTATTGCTCATGTATAAGAAGTGACATGCTCGTTAGGATCAGTGGTTCCATTGTACTTGGGAATTTCTGGCATGCGGAATTTCTTCGGAATGGGCTTCGGAGCCACACTTGGTGAGAAATGCTTCTGTACAAACTTTTTCGAATCTAAACCCTTCAGAATCCGGGATGCCCCTGGTTTTTGATCAACGCGGGAGTTGTACGTTTTTACCTTTTTATCATTAGCCTCGATCTTTTTTTCTCCCGATTCGATCCATTTAGTGAGCTCCTCAAGAATCTTCATGATGGCGGGATTAGTTCCCGATCTATTATCATTCAATTTCTCCTGTACGGGTTCGACCCTATGAGCAACTTTCTGTGATGTATCGAGTTCGATTTTGCTTAGGGCTCGATTCTGATTTTGGAGTTGCTTTATCGCGGCCTATTGAGTTTATAGCATGTCAAATATCATACGAAGGCCAATTCTGCCTTCACCATTTTGTGCATTCTGATCGGCAGCCCGAGCGTCTCTGCGGACGTTATTTTCAGGGTCGGCGCCTAAATCTCCATGAATGGCGACACGAGAACTGACATCAATCGAATCTACAGCCTGGGGTGCGTCGGGATTGATTGGAGGCACTCTGTTTTTTCGGGGCAACTACGTGTTTGTTTTCGCCATGAAGACCAAGGCCGGTATCAGTGTGAGTGGGTATTGCTTGAAAGTTCGACATACTGATTCCTGAAATAAAAAATACTCACTAGAACAAGCGCAAAAGCAGTGTTTGTTATGAAGGTTAAATATTAAGCAATCACAATTATCCTTAGCTCACGGTGGGCGTCAAACTGTTTACTCTACTTTAAATTTGAGTAACAATTAAACTTATAATGTGGTTTTAAGGAAACGTGATTTCACTTAATATCAATTGATAAACGTAAAGATATGTGATGTAAATTGACAATAATACAAAGCAAACCAGCTTTTGGTCAATGCCCTCGAGCTTGGTAGAGCAAGAATAGTTAAAGAGCAGCAACTTGATAAACAAAAGAACGTGAGTTAAAGAGAAAATATTTTATTGCTTTTATCTGTATGAATGTAAGGTGTCTACAAATGATTGAGACTTCTCTTTATATAAATAGAGGAATCGTAATTATGGTACAATTCTATTATGGAGGTAAATCTCATGATTGATACAAATAACCGCCCTTGATTTGATTTGTTCTGGGATTTCCGCTGTGATCTCCGACCGGTTACGGATATCTCGCCTTTCCTTTATTGCACTTCACTCGAAGTCGGTCATACTTAGTTTCGATTACTGCTGGACTCGATCTCAACAGGCACCTTGATTCTTGGACTTGACACCCCGTCTTCGTACTCCGGCCCGATCTAATACGAGGATAACCCCCGATGCGATCCCCTGGTCATGATTAAATAGCAAGATCGGGCAAGCACGATCTTAACCGTGTACAATTTGCAAAGACTTAATTTGGGGAGACTATTCTCCCAAACGTGATCATATTCAAGAAGTTATGGATAATATGAATATTTATATTATTGGCCGGTTAACAAATTTTCTATCGGGTGGGGTCAAATAATTTATTCATTTTTGCATTACTCTTTCGACCCACCAATATTAGAACCGCCCGTTTGCCACCACTAATTGTGTTGATGTAACTGGGATGATTGAAACCACTCGAGTGCTGCCTCGTTAAGGATTGGATAGTTGTTGTATGTAATTGGTAATTTAAGAATATCAGCTAAAAGTTTTTGGTGTGACCCTTAAGTAATATGGATTTATGTCTCACGAGAAGAAACCATTCCTCTTTTTCGCACACACAAGTTGCTGCATATTCATGCTCTTGGTGCTTTCGTAATTAAATCAAGTTCCCAAGCGAAGCAAGAAACTTCAATCAAATAACTTTTAATCAATGGGAACTGATCACGTTTACCATTCAATTACATAACGAATGAAATATATGCACCAACCTGTAAAAAGTTAAACGTTCATTATAGGTCCTAACATGTGGAATTCACTCGATTACTAAACCTATAATATAATTCTGTTAATCTTCCTCACTTTGGCTTAAACCTTTACTAGCTCTTTAGCATTGGAAGAATGTCATTAGTGAAAAGCAGTAGTACTGATTCCGCAAATGCATTTATCCTAATTAAACAAAAAATTTTGTCCAACAACCTAAATGGAATTTTATGCAAATCCCTGGTCTTTTTAACCCTAATTCTATATCTAGTTTACTTTTTCTTGTCCAACCATCCATGTTGTCAATCCTCCCTATTACTCTTCCAAAGAAGAATCAAGTCAAAGCAATATTACTACAATAAAACATCCCACATTTCACCTACGAATATTAGCCACTTAGTTTTTGGAATTGCAGGCTCATCAAATACATGGGGCAACAAAAAATGGTATATCCATTCTTGGTGGAAACCAAATATAACAAGGGGATTTCTTTTCTTAGATAGAACCCCAAATGAGCACCTACCCTGGCCTTCTTCCTCTCCTCCTTTTAAAATATCTGATGACAATTCGCGATACGCGCCTTACCACAAGCACGGAATGCCATTTGCAATCAGAATGTTGAGAGTGATTGAGGAAACATTCAATGTGGAGCACAGTCCAGGGGTCAGGTGGTATGTTATGACGGACGATGACACTGTGCTATTGATTGACAATTTGGTCGATGTTCTTTCCAAGTATGATCACAGAAAGTACTATTACGTTGGGATGAATTCGGAGTGTCTTGTCAGTAACTTTGGTATGTCGTTTCAAATGGCATTTGGTGGAGCTGGTTATGCTTTAAGTTATCCCTTAGCTCAAGCTGTGGCTAAGAACATGGATACGTGTATCAAGAGGTATCCATTTTTATATGGCAGTGACCACATTTTACAAGCTTGTATTGCTGATTTAGGCGTCACCATTACACTAGAAAATGGGTTTCATCAGGTTTGTAATCAAACTCTTTATATTATTATCTTAGAGTATGTTTGATATGACATAAGTCTTTTTTAGAAAAATATTTCGAATAAGAAAGTTATTTTCTAGTGTTTGATATCAGATGGGAGAAAATAATTCACCTCACATGTGGATCGGACAGAAATTTTCCTCATTGTCTTAAACTTTTAATTTCATATCACCTCTCTAAAATAAAATTATGCCATAAGGTGGCGTCTTTTAATTTTATATCACTTGCTCTAAATAATAACACCTAGTCCATGTGACCAGGAGGTCACGGGTTCGAGTGGTGAAAACAGTCTCTTGCAGAAATGCAGGGTAAGATTGCATACAATAGACTTTTATGATCCGGCCCTTTCCCGAATCCCGCGCATAGCGGGAGCTTAGTGCACCGGGCTACCCTTTTATTTTGAAACTCAAAAGAAATTCGTGACATTTACTTTTGTTGTTTCACACAGATTGACCTGCGCCGTGACATATCTGGTTTTTTATCAGCACATCCTCAGTCTCCATTCCTCTCTCTCCATCACCTTGACTTAGTAGCTCCAATTTTCCCTCTAATGAACCATCACGAGGCCGTAAACCATCTAATGACAGCAGCAAGAGTAGATCAATCCAGATTATTACAGCAAAGCACATGCTACCTAAAGAAATACAATTGGACATTCTCAGTGTCATGGGGCTATTCCATTAACATCTATGAGAAGATTCATTCTCCAAGTTTTCTTGAAAGACCCCTTGAGACATTTTCCGAATGGAGGAAAGGAGCAAGGCCACCTTACATGTTTAATGTTAGACAATTAACTAATGATTCTTGTGAAATTCCTCATGTTCTCTTCTTTGATTCTGTCGAAGGAACAAGATTAAACCACATTGTTACGGGATACATCAAGAGAACTCCAAGGGCGATGCCCGCATGTGGGTCGAGCGGCAATCATTCTGCGGATGATGTCTCAAAAATTCGTGTCTTTTCTCCCATGCATAAGCTTCATGTAGTGGTAAGTATACTAGTATATACCCATCCCCTTTTATTTTAGATGACGCTACTCTTTGACTGCATGAAATTCTAAAAAGAAAAATAATAGTAATACTTGCGGTCTTAAACATATGACGACATGTCTATGACTTATATATTTTTAAGGATAAAATATAGTATTCTCTCCGTTTCAATTTAAATGACACATTTTTCTTATTAGTTCGTTCCAAAAAAAAAGCAAAATTTCGACATTTGGAAACAATTTAACTTTAAACTTTTCATTTTACCCATTTTACCCTTTCATGGCCCTACAAAGCTTTTGCCCCTTAAGCTTTTAAGACCACATATTTCAAAAGTCATTTTTTTTTCCTCTCAAAGTTTGTTATCTAAATTGAAACGAAGGGAGTGAGAAGTTTTCGAATACAAAAAAAGATAACATTCTTTTGGAATAGAATTAAAAAGAAAAAAAAGGTGCTACATAAAATGAAAAAGGGGGAATAATAATCATTGTAGAGTAGAAAAAAGAAACATACAAGTAAACATTACGGCTTTTCGCAGAATAAATTCAGTGCACTTTTAGATAAAATAAATATAAAACATCATGGTAAGTCCTCATCCCGTATTGACAATTATTTGAAAGAACACAAATATAGAATCCTAAACAAAAGCAAGAGGTTGAATTTAACTTTAAATCCATTTTCTGAGTTCTGCCGTTCTTAGTGTCGATTTTGTTTCTTCTGCATTTTCTCAACGTTTATAATTAATTATATGTTGATTTTAGGTACTTTATCGTGCAAAACAGATTTGACTTTTAATTCATTTGAACGAACCCAATCTTAATTATACAAAGTGGCTTATAACAAATCGTTTTGGACCCCAAACTTATACATTTCAAGTTTGACTTTTCGCTTATTTATTACTCCAGTATATTACATTCTATATGGCATTATTATGATCTTTGCATAATTATGGATCGGAGTTTACGACTCGTTGATAAAGAAATTGAGCTGTTTTTTTGAATTCTTAGCCATAATCTTATTTTGTTTCTTTTCTGTATAGGCTGGTAATAGAAGAGAATGTTGTGACATTGTGCAACCCATTGGAATGGATTCGATGGCTATCAAACTTAGGACTTGTATGAAACATGAAATTATTGCCTGAGCGAAAAATGTCATATAGTATGCATCAGCAAGTTTAGCTAGAAGAAAGAGATAGACGCAGTTGTAGTAATTTCTTTTTTAGAGTGTATTTTTCCTCTATTGCCAGTTTCATGAACGGAGATATTTGACATTTACATGTTCCTGAAAATAAGTTGACCTAAAGAAGTACTCCCCCTGTTATTTCTTTTATGTCATTTTCCCTCGGCTTATCTATACAGCTGATACTAGTATTAATCCACGGCCAACGAGGGGTGGATGTATCTATATGTTACCGGGTTCATTTGAACCATGGTACTTCCGAAGCAAAGCATAATCTACTAAAAATTGCTACAAATAATAAATATGGACCTATAACTTTTAAAAAGTAAATGAGTTCTATAATACGAATCTTAAATGTTAAATCGTGAATCTGCCTCTGCCAACAATATTGACCATGACTTCTTCATGATCAACAAAGCTTACTACTGGCAATTCAAACGGGAAGGACAAATGAATTGAACACTCTGAACCCGCTTTAATAAACCTTGAAAGGATTTCTTCAACGAAACCCATCTTAGATGTAGAAACACCGCCAATCCCTTTGAACATGATTCATGCAAGCTTGGATCAGTTGTGCTTCCAAAGGTGATTAGAGGCAATGAATTGTGAGAAGCACTTGTGGAGAGGCCATGTTGAGTATAATATTGCTTTGACTATATCTACTCTTGACGTACGGAAAGTTAGATCCTAATTAACAAAAGAGGGATGTAATCTTGTTTAAAATAATAGCATTTTAGATTGTGCTGGTCATGGAGCATATAGGGATGTTTTTGGCCGTGGAAATAGGAAAAAGAATAATACCATTGTCAGCAACAACAACAACAATAAAAAATTCAGTAATATCCCATAAGTGGGATATGGGGAGGGTAAGATGTACGCAGCCTTACCCCTACCCTTGGAAGGGCGGAGAGGTTGTTTTGATAGACCCTCGGCTAGAGAGCGACTAAAAAAGAAAAGGTAATTGCAATAATTAGGAATAACATCAAGATTAAATAAGACTGAATCCAAGAGTGCAATCAAACTCTAGTTATTAATAGCCATCTATGGATAAAAGCTATCATACTAACACTAATGCTTGCGAACTGAGCAAAACAAAGAGAAACGCTTGGCTACCTACGAACCTTCTACCTAATCTTTGAGCTCCACACCCTCCTATCTAGGGTCGTGTCCTCAGTCAGCTCCAGCTACGTCATATCCCGCCCAATAACCTCTCCCTAAGAAATCTTAGGCCTACCTCTATCCATCCTGCTACCCACCGAGGCTAACCGCTTGCACCTTCTAATTGGGGCTTCTATACTCCTCCTCTTAATATGCCCGAACCATCTCAACCTCGCCTTCCGCATCTTATCCTCCACAGGGGCCACTCCCACCTTTTTCCGAATAACTTCATTCCTAATCTTATCCAACCGGGTATGCCCACATATCCATCTCAACGTCCTTATCTCAGCTACTTTTAGCTTCTAGGTATGAGAGTTCTTTACCGGCCAACACTCTGCTCCATACAACATAGTCGGTCTAACTACAACCTTGTAGAACTTACCTTTAAGTATCATCAGCACATTCTTATCACACAAGACAACGGAAGCAAGCCTCCACTTCATCCATCCTGCTCTGATACGATGCGTGACATCTTCATCAATCTCCTCGTTATCTTATATTATAGATCTAAGATACTTGAAACTACCTCTCTTGGGGATGACTTGCGTATTAAGCCTCACCTCTACATCCCCTTTCTAGGTACCGTTCCTGAACTTGCACTCCAAGTATTCCGTCTTGGTCCTACTCAACTTGAAACCCTTCGACTCTAGGGTCTGCCTCCAAACCTCCAACCTCTCATTAACACAACCCCGCGTCCCGTCAATTAAAACTATGTCATCAGCAAATAATATACACCATGACACCTTACCTTGAATGTGTCTCTCAATGTGTCAATCGCTAAGGAAAATAGGAATGGACTAAGAGCCGATCCCTAGTGCAACCCCATCATAATCGAAAAGTGTTTCGAGTCTTCTCCCGTTGGATAATAGTTAAAGTATGGGGAGGGGGTTGTTGATTTTTCTATTTATAACTAAATAGTCGACTAGTTTGCCAATTAGTCGATAGCCTGAATAAATGATATAAAAGGTAAAGACTAAAAGTAAAGTGGAGTAAGTAACTAACACAGAATATTTTATACTGGTTCCAATTCAATGTGAATCCTACTCTAGTCCCCTTGTGCTGCAAGGGTGTTCTCTCTTCAAAGTTCTCAATAAACCTTCATAATAATATGTTGATGTTGTTGCGAACGCCAACTCGCTTCAGATCCTAAGTACATTTATCGTATTGTTGATACAATGCCTTACCAATATTTCTCTATTTCTTCTCACTACTAGTTACACAGTAAACTATACTCAAGTTAAAATACTTATTTAGAGTAGAACAAAGAGTGGAGCTGGTTTGATCAAAATATGTCTTCCTTCTAAACCAATACACACACACACACACACACACTCTCTATCTCTCTTCATGAGATCTTATTTGATTCTTGGTTGTGAATCTTGAGAGATTATAGACCCAATGGAGTTGATCCTTGAAAGGAATCACAGACTGATTCTTTTCAAGAATAAGTGTACGCTTTCTTTGGTTTGCCATTGTTAGATTTAAGTTGATTTTAATGATGCAAAATAACCAATTACTCCTTATATGAAGGAATAGTTTCTGAGTAATAGAATGGAAGGCATAAATGAATAAAACGAAAAAGGAAAGAGGAGAGTAAAAAATCAATCAAGGGAGCTAGCAAAATCAATCAAAAAGGATATTATAGGAAGGATCTCAATCAAAGGAGGTCAAGGGCAAGAAATCATTTGTTAAATATTCTCCCACTTAAATATGTCAATCAAAGCATCAATCAAGGGATTTGGCAATGAGAATATTCTCTTGTTAAAGGAAGAAATGATTCAAGCCCATGAGTCAATGCAAATCAACGAAAGAATTAATATTGGAAAGAATCAATTTAGGATTTCTTTCTAAGTACAACTCCTTTGGGTTTGCATTCTCTCAAAAAGACGTACAAGACATGAAGGCCTCAAGAAGTATAAATACCTACTGCACCAGCCTTAGAAAGATATACTTTGATCAAAATAATTTCAATCTCTTTGTTCTACTTTAAACAAATACTGTAGTCTGCTTTAGATTTCTTATGTAACAAAGAAGAGAAGAGATAGATAAAAGAATAATAGTGAGGCATTGTATCAACTATAGAAAGAAGAACAAAATGACAAAAGTTGTTGGTGTATAACAACATCAACCCATCTGTACTAAGTTACTTCATACTTCAAATAAATCACCCTTGCAACCCCAGGGGACTGGATGTAGGAGTCACTCTGAATATGAACCAGTATAAATAATATTGTGTCATTTATTTTTTGCAATTTATCTTCTATATTTTGTTCCTGAAAATCTAGTTGACTAGAACATAAAGTAGCCGACTACCTCGAAAAAGAAAAGAAAAATTACAATTCACCATCTCTTGCACTTTCAAATTGTATCCGAGTAGGTCTCACAATTTTGCTTAATAGCTTGTGAGAAAAGATCATGGCAAATCAAGTAACTGTTGGAGCATTCTTTCAAGAAGGAACATTAGAAGTCATGCCACCATATTTCAATGGAGAACACTTTTCTTACTAGAAAGTACGAATGAAAATCTAGGCAAAATCTTATGATGTGAAAGTATGGCACGTTATAAAAAAGGGAAACTATCCATTACCAATAGTAGCTCAACCATCCATTGATCTTGAAGATAAGATAAATACATAGACGAAAAAATGGCGATCGTTCAGGTTAATGCTAATGCACGAAACCTGTTGTATAACGCTATAAATGGAGAAGAGTATGAGAAAATTTCAAGCTGTGATACGACCAAAGAAATGTGGGACAAACGGGAAGTCACCTATAAAGGAACCATCAAAATGAAAGAAACTCAAATAAACATGTTAATTCATGATTATGAAATTTTGCAAATGAAAGAAGGAGAATCCATTGAGGAAACTTTCGTAAGATTCAGCAAAATCACTGGCAATATGAAAGCCTTTGGTAAACCCTACTCAAGTGGTGGTCAAGTTCAAATAATCCTAAGGAGTTTACCTACCACTTGGCAGACAAAAGTTGTTGCACTCGAATTTCAAGATCTAAACAAACTTTCATATAATGAACTACGAGGAGATCTTATAGCATTCTACAAAACCCATCTCAAGAAAACAAGTCAGGAAGAAAAGATAACTGAATGACCTGAGAATGATATTGATGTCGACCTAGAAGCTCTTGAAGAAGAAATTGCCATGGTATCAAGAAACATGAATGGATTGATGAGAAGGTATAGAAACACAATAAGGGGAAGGATGCCATCTAGGAGAACCAGGCAATACAATGAACAAGACAAGAATGACGAGAAGTATTATGAACGTGGAAGATATGGGCATGTTCAAGCTGAATGCCCAGATCTTAAAAGAAAAGTCTCCAGAGAGTTCAGTAAAAAAATCCTTCGGAAGCTGGAGTGATGAAAATAATTAATAAGAAGAAGAAATAGCAAATCTTTGCATTATGACCATCCTAGAAAATGACATGAACAAATGCTCTGGTTGTTGGACTGATGAAGATACATCTGACGATGAATGCAAGGAAGATACCGAAAATTGTTTCATGGCATGAGGTGAAACAAGCGAGGTAAAATTTTATAATTGTGATAGATGTAATGAATTGAAGGATATTCTTGACCTTACCCTAAAAGAGTCTAAAAAATATTGTATGAACTAAGGAAACTCAATAGGGAAAAGAAAGAATGGGAACTTAAGCTTGAAGTCTATGAAATTGAAAGAGATGTATTTCTAGATGGAATTTAGGAATTGCAAATGTAACTTAATGGCATGCGCAAATCTACTAGTTACAGTTCTATCAAGTCTAACCAGGTGACTTACAAGTCAACTG